TTGCTTGCTTGAATGCTTGCTTGATTGATTTACTTACTGAACTGTGGCTTACAGGAGCGTCAGGACTTGATTGATAACACAGATGATGATATTGATCACAATACTGGCAGTGGGGATGAACATTCCATAGGCAGCAATGAAAGTGTGACAGAGGTATTTAATGGCAGTATATTAATTAAATTATATTGCCCCCTATTTGCCTTGGTCAGGTTTCTTCCTTATAAAGTCATACTGGTATAAAGACACATATCTTCTGTCAAAGGTGTATATTATGGGAGCCAGCCAAAAAATCGATTCAAATTGTCTGCCTTGTGTGAAATGATGATGAAATAAATGTTGGCAGACCTATCATCAGTTTCACCTTTTTAATTTGCAGGGCCCCACTGAAAAGCGCCAAGGCAAGTGGGCTCCTAGATAACTATTATTATTATTATTATTATTATTATTGTTATTACCTCTCCTGCTAATATGTGTTATTTGGTGGAGCTTTGTACTTTCATCTGCTTTCTAATCGGGGTACTTAATACTGTCTTAGCCATTTCATGTAAATTTTATGTTTGTACTGATCACAGCCATACATTTCTTTGTATTTTAGTTTCAAGGTGGTTATTCAAATTCAATTTTTTTTTCAAAATTTTGACCAGAGTTGTAGTAGAGTCTTGCTGAAAAGAATGAAACATTTCTAAACAAATTGGCTGGGATATCTTATTATTTTTATATTTGATTAAAAGTAAGAAGCATTTATCTGCTTGCATAGACAAATTGTTGATGCATTTATAAAATGCAACTGGTGAGACAGATGCAAATGTTATCATAGTAGCACTTTAAGGGAAAAGAAACTTTGCTTACATGACTTTCTGTTTTATAGAACCTTGAACATCTTGCTGAGGAAGAGCGTTTTGATGTGTCTAAATCACCCCAAAAACTGAATGGAAAGAACTACAAACTCTATAATGGTAATTCTGAGTGCAAGGTTGTATCTATTGAGAATCTGGATAATCCCTATGTCGTTCCACTTATGATGAATTGCCAAGATGAAAATTCTTATCTTATAAGCAAAGCGGTTCCCATAGGATATCAGGACAATGGAACATTTGTCTTGAACATTGATGCACTGCAACACAGGAAAGATTTGTACTCAGACGAGAATGGGTCATGGGTAATGACAGGCTGCAAGGCCAAGTTTTATACCATCATAAGAGACGAGGAGGGGAAAGTGGCTGAACTTGAAAAGGTCAACACTCAGGCAAGTTCGGATGTTATGGTGAGAAGAAGAACATACACATGTTCCTCGTACACGTCATATCACAAGACAATAGTGTCAATCGAATTTGGCAAGGACATAGAGAAATGGTTTCCACTTGTGCTTCTTAGTTATAACTTTGATGGAGAGCCATCAAAATTTACAGTCAAGAAGCATGGGAATCGCACCTCTTCAAATATGCCTCATATCCGATCGAAAGAGAGCACTAAGCAAAAAGTTGCAGAAAAAGCCATGCAATGCGGTCCTAAGAGAGCGCTGTATTTTGCAAGAAAGGAAGCTGGTGGCATCTGTGAGGTGGACAGCATCAGTTCTATCCCACGCAACTCGAAACAAGTCGAATACCTAACTCGGAAACCATCGGAAAAAGTGAAAAAAGACCCACTAGCATCTGTTCTAGAACTACAGAAGACAACGTTTCCTGGTTTTATCCGTGAAGTAGTCTGCAACGATTTGCCTACGGTCATGTTATTCACTGATCGACAGTTAGACAATATTGTGAAGTTTCGTTGTCACGACAGGGTAAACGAGGTCTCTGAACTTGGAGTTGATGTGACATTTCAACTCGGTCCATTCTACGTGCTTATAACAAGTTTTAAGAACACAGTTCTTTGAGTAAAGGGAGCAAACAACCACCCCTCCTTTTTAGGCCCTGTTAGGATCTGTATGACCAGAGATGAATCAACATACCTCTCCTTTATTCATTGCCTTATTCGTGAAAAGCCTGGTCTCAGTGAGTTTATTCATGCCACTGGCACAGATGACGAACGTGCATTAACACATGCTCTTGCTGCCGGTTTCAGGAATGCAGCACCTTTGCTTTGTTACATCCACAGCCAAAGAAACATCAAGGAGAAATGTAGAAAGCTTGGTCTGTCCTCAGCATTGGTGTCCCGCATTTGCCAAGATCTCTTTCAACCAAGAAGTGGATTAATTTAGTCCAGTTCACTAGAAGAATTTAACAACAATGCAACAGTACTCATGGAAGAGTGGGATACCCTGGAACGGTCCGAGAAATCTGGTCCACCAGCCTTTATACAGTATTTTCGCGAACATAAGCTTGATGACATGCGTCCAAAGATGGCTGCATTTGTTCTGAAAGACCTTGGCTTGGGAAACAAGCCATACGAACAGAACATTCCGGAATCAGTCAATGATATGATGAAAGATTGGATGAAGTACATTCCCCAGGAAATGGACAGACTCATTGTCAACCTGTATGACTTTGTGCAATCATTTGATCAAGAAGAAGAAATGGCATGGTTCCAGTTGTCCGACAAATTGGAAGTCTGCCACCAGTTCCAGCAACACTTACCAAGGAAGAGCCATGCAGAGATGACCCAAGAAGAGCGAAAGGCCTTCCTTAAAAAAGTTAGTAGAATTTTCCCAGATCCAGAAGCTTACAAGAGGTGCTGCAATTTCAAGGTTCAAGTTCCTCGGCTCGCCGCTCTTCAAGACAGTCAGCTTGTGACCTCAGCGACCTTTCTGCATTGAGTGGCCACTTTTCTAAAGAGGAACAAGCCAGTCTCCTAGAAAAAAGCCAAGACTGTGCTGCACAATGACCAGTTTCGCCAGGGGTTTAAGGATAGCGTCTACTTTGTGGACAGTGGAGGACAACTTCCTCGCCGGGTTCAGTGCTTTAAGAGTGGAAAATGTACATGTGATCGTAATTTCTTTGGGCGAAACAACCTTTGTCACCACTGCCTGGCTATTGCCATCCATCTAAATTGTGTGGCAAACATTGTGAGGGCCTACCAAGGCCGAAGTCTCCACAAGATATCAGCAGCATCTGCACCAAAAAATGTTGGAGGGAAGGCTCCATCTAGAAAAAGGCCTCTACCTGTAACTGAGGTGGAAGTGCACCATTCTTCAGATATGGATGCAGATGTAAAGAACAGAGGCACAAATTTCCAATCTGAAGTTGTGAATCCCACAACTCTTGTTATTAGAAGAGCTGAAAGACCAGTAGATCCTCCACCCTCTGCACCTTTGGTTCTCAAAAAGATTGCTGGTAACATCAAAAAGTGCGCTGGGTGCTTCAAGGCTCTAACATCCAATGTTGTGGGATACCAGAGTCCAGATGATCAGCTATACTGTTTTGCCAGATTCGAGCGCTATCATTTCTTCAATAAGGCAACAAATGCTTGGCAGTTAACAACATCAACGAGACACTACCACCTCAACCCTGTCTGCACAAAGGTGTCATCAAAAATAACCTCCAATAACAGTCTCATTGAAACTGGTAGCCTGCGTCAACTGGTTCTTGATAGATTCCAAGTAAATTTAGATTAATTTTGTAGCTGCCTTTTGTTTCCTTGTATGTCCATGCACTTCTTTCAAGAAACTCAGTTGTATGCTCGCAGGTTAATCTTTCCTGGAGTTTTACTCTTTACTTTAACTGCCTTGCATCTCTTTAATTCTAAAGGTGGCCCCTGAAAAATTAAAAGGTGATACCTCATAATTATATCCTCCTTTTTTAAGGGTTGCCAAATTGACATTATTTTAAAGTGTTCAGTGGATTGACATATTACACATTCTCTTGGATTAACTCTAAGAGATGTCTATGGAGTGTTGGGTGTGTACCCTGAAATGAAAAATCAAGTTATGGTGATCGTGATTTCATTAGACCTTGACTTTTTTGCTTGTGTAGAAAATTAAAGAATCTGTTAAGGATAAGTAGCGGGATTTCCAACTATTTACATTTATGGAAGTTAAAGTTTAAAACATTGAGAATTGTTTACAAATTAATTACATAACAGTTGTTTACGAGTTAATGAGATTCAGGTCAATTTAATTTAGGCATGTGGCTTATAACGGTTTTAAACATTTTTTCCACCCCTAATAATGGTGTGACAAAAATTTCCAATCATTGGTGAACTAGTTGAGATCTTTTTATTCCATTGGCAGTTACCATGGCAGCAGTGGGGTGTTTTAATGGGGTTATACTGTTGCTATGGTAACCACTTCTGGCAGTGAAATGGTTAAAACTGCTTAACCAATGATTGAGAATTTTGTTGATACCATTATTGGAGCAGTAAATGATTCAGAGTGCTAGTATTGATTGATTAAGTGTAAGAGCAAGAAAGAGCCGGGAACTGCTAAGACCCACCTTATATTGTTCAAGGATAACGACTATAGAGGTCACGCATAAATCTTAGTATCACAGAGAATAATTGTTACCGGGCTACTGTTATCAAAATAGAAGTTGTGTTATCTAAAAGTTGTGTTTCACATACAGTTTACTGCTTTACCCTGTATGCAAAGTATGATAACATATAGTAACACAGAATAGAGGAAATGGACAGTGTTGTTGGTACTATTTCTAAAACTCATAAGATTGCACAAGTTGACGCCTTTTTGCCATTAATTAGTAAATGTATACCCTAAGACTGGTCCTTTCTAAGGATATTGCATTTGAAAATGTGTTGAGATAATTTAATAAAGGTTATGGCTTGTTTTGTTGTGCTACTGAACCTGTTTTAGCTTGTTGATATTTTTAATACCAAAGAATTGTTATGTACAATGTTTCCTTCAAACAGCAATTGCCATGTAGTTCAAATTTAATTCAAACATAGGAAAAAATCTAATAGGAAGTCGATTCGCTGCTCTATTAATCGAATAGTCTCCAGTGGATCATAGAGCTGCGTGCCTGGAATTTTAACTTAAAATTCAACTCACCTCATCACTGTCCAATATTTCACACACCTCCACATTTCTCCTAAAGAAAGAAAGATAGATATGTTTGCAATCTGTTTTAAGTGCAAATAAATGTGGATGGCCCACAAGAACAAAAGAATAAAGGTGATTCATATTCAAGAATTCTTACCGGTCATCCATGACTGCCACGAGAGAGGAGTGAAGTCGTGGTGTTTTTCGTGAGGCCTGGGTCGAGTTCGTGATCGTGAACGCGGGAGGCTGAGCCCAACAAAATGGCGGTGGCAAAACAGTACACAAATGAAGTTTTTGATCTTCAAAGCATACGTGTCTTTCGTGGTCTTTCATACATCGCCACAGCGAAATAGGTAGCAATATGCGATTAATATTACCTTGCGCCCGAGTCTGTTAATTCTGCGGAAGTAAGCGTTAGAATTTACGCCGACACGAGCGGTCAGTCCATTCAAATGGTAAGTCAAATCTTTTTGTCATTTCTGTTTATATTTTCTGCATCGTTTTTTTTTCGGCTATTTTTTGGAGTGGTCCCTAGGGGGGGTCCGTAGAAGGGGTCCGTGGACCGGTCCGTAAGGTAGTCCATGGACCGGGTCCGTAGGGGGGTCCACGGACCGGGGGTCAGTGTTTTCGGGTCACCCTATGAATTATGCAATTTCAGACATCATAGGAATTTGATGTAGATAAGAATATATTGCAACAAATATTGGTAATTATAAGAACAGCTCCCTGAAAACACCAAACACTGAGTTACCTGAAAAATAATAATCATTCAGTGAGGTATTGATAAATTAATGTACCCGTAATACAGTCCTGAAGCATTAGCTGTTTGATATCACAGTTATTGCAATGAAGAGGGTACTATCTGCTCACCACACATTACACTCAGTACTCTGCTACAAAACATTAGAAAGTTCTTTTGACTTTAAAGAGGCATATTTGTCCCCTGAGGCATACCTCCCTCAAAGAATCTTACAATTTGTCAAAGTCTTCTTTTTCCATTCAGGACTTTTTTTATTTAAAATATCCATACATGGATATCCATTTTCTTGTCTGTTATTTATTTAGTATCAATAGTATTTGTATATTCAGGTTACTAACCTTGAAAAATTTTGTAAGGAGAATTTCTGTCTTGGTCACTTGTTGGAGTTGAAGAGCTATAAAGTGTCTTTCAAAAAAGATAGTTTACTACAGTCAAACATGTATTAAGTGGCACCCCATTTAGCAGTTACCCAGTTTTAAGCGGTCAGTTTCAAGGTCCCCAAAATTTTCCCCTTAGTTATCATAATTGCCACCATCATTGAGCAGTTGTGGTCACCTTTGACTGAGTCTCAATGCCTGATTATTTTTTCCTCACCTGTGTTGAATAAAATTTGAATAAAATTTGATTCATGTCTATCTTCCAAAATCAATGTTAATAAGTATTTTTGAGCAAATTTTGTACATTATGTGGTCAATTATGGCATGAGAAGGTGTTTATTACCTTTTTTTCTATAATACCCCTTTTCTATGGAACCTTTAATTAGCAGTCAACCTCTTTTAATAGCACTTAAATTATGTTACAGTATAAACAACTGCCTTTACCATGTCTCAGCTTATATACAGCAGAAAAGTTTACTTTAGCAAGGGCTAAAAGAACAAGTTATCACCTTTTGCTGATTTTTTTTTCCGCAGAGACCTAGCTGTGCATCAAAAACAGTCAGCTATGGAGCTGTTCCAGTACTGTTACAAATGTTTTGAGATTGGCAAAGAACAGATCATCATCAGACAGAGAAACATCAGAAAAGCTATTCTGAATGTGATCAAGAATATCACCATGTCAAGTATGTTAACCCTTTACTCCCCAGCCTGAGAACACATATTCTCCATGTTGTTCTCTATGTACATTTCACTAGTTAGTATCAAGGAGATCAAGGAGAATTTTTTTAGCAATCAACGATGTCTTGAATGGGGTGTTTATTTCCCATATTCTCATAACCTTAATGTTTTATCCAGTTGTGATGATGTATAGAGAAATTGTATGCTAGTTAGTCCTGGAGAATAAAGGGTTAATAGAGGAGACTACTGATTACATAAATTGAATCTTTAAAATGTCAGAAGGTACACTGTAGTTGGTAGATGTTGTTTCTTGAAAGACAAATTGTTCACCCCTGAAATTGCCAAAACACTGCGTAAACCAAATAGAAAATTTGAGAAATATTGATTGTAAATGTTGCTTGGATATCTTGCTTCTCATTTTTTGTAGTCTGTAGAGAACTGGCTGACCTCTGGTATTGCTACTCCATTTTAAAATTAATTTGAGTTAGTTGTTTCAACGTCTGAAAGAGGAAATGACCTAAATTAAAGTATCCTGAATTAACTGTATTCCAAGAAACTGATAGTCAACTTGCTGCTTTGAATTGTGAACCAATAGAAATATCAAGGAGAGGTGTTATTTGTTTGGTCATGCATGTTAAAGTCAATTGCCTATATAAAGCAGCCACTTGTGGGGAATGAAAAGATTTGGGACTTTGACTACCAACAGCTTAATACAAGGTGATCACTTAATAAGGTGCAGATTTTATTTGTTTGGTTGTCCATGCTACAGTCAAACCTGTATCAAGCAGTCACCTATGGGGAATGAAAAGATTCCGGACTTTGACTACGGACAGCTTAATACAAGGTGATCACTAATGATAAGGTGCAGATTTTATCTGTTTGGTTGTACATGCATGTCAAACCTATATTAAGCGGTCACCTATGGGGAATGAAAAGATTCGGGACCTTGACTACCAACCACTCAACACAGGGTGATCACTCAATAAGGTGTAGATTTTATCTGTTTGGTTGTGCATGCTACAGTACTTGAGTGTTCTAAAGAGAACTCATTAGTATGCTAGCATCCTGTGCACATACTGCCAGGATCAATAAGGTTGAATAAGGAGTTAAATTTCTGGATTTTAGGAAGTGGTAAGAAGGCATTTATCCAAGCTGATGGTATTAAAACCCTGTACACTTTGTCACTGGATACTTTAGAGTGTAAGTAAATTTTGATGTTACAAAGAATTTTTCAGACTGTGTTACCACTGATTTTAGATGTATGAATTCATATATTGGCACTGTGACGAAGAAACGAAGTTAAGAGATCCTCGCAGCTAAGAACACTACTAAACTAGTAGTTGAAAATAGGACCTGAAAAAAATTCAGTCCTGGTTTTTTGGCTGTTTTTCTGGTGACCCTCCCAGGGACTTATGCTCGGCTTCTCGCCGTAACCTGGGATAAGCCAGTCTTTGGTTGTTTTCCAATCTTGTATTGGATTGGCTTTTATTCTTGGCTTTTTGGCCTGTTGAGTTTGGCGTTTTGTCAGCTCACAGGTTTTTGCCGGTTTTTTGGTCACCCATCCATTTTTGGGTTTTTGTTGTTTTTTCGCCATGGTTGTGGAGTGCGTTAAGACGTGTGTAATTCATGCGTCGGAGATGGTGGCAAGTTATGAAAAGGCTCGTGTGATTACGCTCCTTAGGGAGTGCATTGATTTTGAAGGGCTCTCTGCCATTCAGTTTTGCCTCAGGGGCCTGATACGTGTTACCTTTAAGGATGCCTCGGATAGGGGGGAATTTGTGCGGGTGGGTTCGTTAACGTTAGATGGGCACGATCTTAGCGTGACCTCTTCAGATAAGCCGCATTCTTTGGTTTACGTGCATTATTTTCCCGTCGAAGGTGATGATGCTTTGATTCGTGATGAGCTAGGTAAATACGGTGAGGTTATTAGTGTTAAGCATCAGAGTTTTTCGGGAATCCCGGGCCTTCTCACTGGGTCACGCGTTCTCACGATGGTATTGTCGGATCCAGTTCCAGCCGAGTTTCGCATTGATGACTACCCTGTGCGGGTTTGGTATAAAGGTGTTCCTCCATTTTGTCAGATTTGTAAAATCAGTGGTCATAAGGCGGCGGATTGCCAGTTTAATGGAAAGTGTAGGAGGTGTGGCTCCACCGACCACAAGGCGCATGCGTGCGTCCAGCCGTGGGGTCAGCCTGTTGCACCAATGGAGGTTGCAGTCCCTGAGGTGGTGCCTGACCCCTCTGAGACTGTTGTGCCGGCTGTCTCTGATAGTTCTGCCGTTTTGGATGAGGGTGTGGATGAAATAGTTGAGGATGTGGTTGAGGAAGAGGAAGATGTAGCTGTAGTTGAGGAAGATGAGGTTACGGATGAGGACGCGGAAGATTAGGATGCGGTTCCTGTTAGTACCCCTACGGGGGTTCCTGTTCCAAGCCCCTTCGGGGCGTGTCTTGGGGGCTGCCCCCTCGGTTCCTGTTGCGGAGAAGGTGCAGGCCTCCTCGGGTCCTGTTGCCCCAGTTGTTCCGGAGGCGGTCTCTGGCCCCTCTGTTTCTCCCGTTGGGTCCTTTCAGACTGTCTCTGCAGTTTCTGGCCTCTCGCGTGTTGCTTCATGTAGAATTTTCACCCCTGAGCTTCGTAGGAAGTTTTTTTTGGGGTATCGTGATATGTTGTGCCAGTGTACCGGGAATGCTGCCTACGTTATTTCGTATAGAAACACTATGGTGTGCGGGGTTTTCCCTGCAGACGATCCGGATGAGGTCCGTATAACTTATGAAAGTGGGGCGTTTTTGATAGTGCATGCAAATCTTGTCCGTATTTCCAAAGCGGATACTAGTAATGAGGTGTCTGAGGCTGAGTTTGCTAAGTTTATTCTCACGATTAAGGATGACCCTTCCTATCGGATTCCCTTTAGGGGGTCTATTGTAGATAATGTTGGGCCTACTGAGCACAGTAATGTTTTGTGTGCGGTGTTTACGGACCATACTGGGCCGCAGTCCCGGAGGCTGCCTGCGAAGGCTTTAAGTGTTAAGAATATCGCTCTTAATAGTAATAGCTCTGGTGCCAATGTTAATAGTAGTGTTAATAACGTAAATAATGTAAATGAGTCCTCCTCTACGGTTGATGACGGTATTGTCAATGTTTCTCGAAACAGCTCTCGTTCTGTGGTCCCTACGGCTGCGGTGCTTGCCGCCGAGTTGCTTAAGCGTACTGCCCCCCCTTCTGTTGTGGGCGTCCCGAAATGCAGAAAGAAATTATAGTAAGTATTAGCACCAATGTAAATGATATTGTAAAAAAAGTAACTAAGGTCCTGAAATGTGGGAAAAGTTATAGTACAAACGTTAATAAATAATGTGAATAGTACTGGAAATAATAGTTTTTTCTGTGTTTTTGTATCCGTTTTGTTCGTTTGTTGTTTGGAGCGGGTGTGTTCAATTTTTGGTGTGAGTGTGTTCAATGTTTGCGAGGTGGGGTTCGATTCCCCAACGAAGTTGGTGTCTGGTGGCCCTCGGTTTATGGTGGACCCAACCCTAAGGCATTGCACTTTCAGCCATGGGTTGGATTAGGTCTGTAGATCGGCAGGCATTGCACCGCCCTCACGGGAGCCTGGCCGTTCACCTTAAATATAAAAAAAAACTAATAGGTTTAAAGATTTTGTAACGTTTCGTTATGCACATAGTATTGTTAATTAGGGTGTTGCGCTGTATCTGTAATCCAGCCTTGTGGCTGCAATTGGTATTAATAAACAAACTACAACTACAAACTACAATAAAAGATTTGGGGACAAATGGCTGGTTGAAAACGACTTAAAGCAATTTAAAGCGATTGAGAAAAATGAGTTCAGCATAGTTAAACAATAAAACCGATTGAATGAAATTTACGGTAAAGAACTTATACGAATGTTATTTAATTCTAAAACACTACCTGACTCCAATGTAAACCAATAATTCAGTTTTGGTTGTAGGGGAGGAGAGATGAGGGCTTATTAGAGAGAGAGATTCATTTGTTCCTTTTACCATGTGAATGTGAAGAAGTAATGAACGAGCCTATGAATGATCGACCGTACTTGCCTTTTTCAACACATCTTATTTCTCAGGTGGGGGATTGTGAGTATGATCTGGTTCTAAAACCTGATATCAACTGTAAACACCATCACCAGTGGTTTTATTTTGCGGTGGGTACTTGTCCTCGTTTCAACACCTAAGACACAACTAACACTTCCATGTAGAGGAAGACGTTTGTTCGTTTTGTCACGAGCGTGGGACAAAGATAAAAATCTGAGTCCTTATGAGGAATTGAACCTCAGACCTTTGCATTCCGCGCTCCTATCCTCTACCACTGAGCCACAGAGACTCTGTGCTGAGCAAAGCCCATTACGAAGTTGATATATGACACGCGTCCAACATACTGCTAGGATTAGCAGTTTCATCAGCGTCATGTTTTGTAAACAGAATAAGAAAGATGATAGGGTTTGAGCTCGGCAAAGGGATAGAAATCCTAGCAGTATGCAAATATGTCCATGTTCGTCTATTATCAGCCATCTCACGAAATGAAATGCGAGAGCATGGCAATTACGTTTTATATTCCATATGTAGTAAAAGACTTAAAGACTTTAGAGGCAGACGTTTTGGCTCACGTTTCATTTGTTTACGTAATGATCTAAGGTAGTGTTTTTCTCCATTTAGAATCTCCGGAAATGTAATTGGAGCAAAACGTGATTGACCATTGCTTAAGTGGCACCAGTCGTACAAATGCATGCTGTATGAATGCTAGCACGATTGTGTTCGTGCCAAAGGAAGATCCTGAAGGTACGCAGAGTTCACTGAAAATATTCTTAATGACTATTGTTAATCATACTTCTTCTAGACATGAGCCAAAAGTTCTGCTGATACCCAGGGTACAGAAAAGCTTAATGAAGTAAGTGTTTTGACTACAAGTTTGTTATTTTACTTTATTATTTTTTGCAACTTGTCTGCTAGGAAAGTTGTCTAGGTAGTTTAGTACTAAGGTAATAACCCGTGGGGGAACCCATACGTGCGGAAGATCCTCCTGCAAGGGAGAAGATCCTCTTGCAAGGGAGAAGATTCACCCGTGAGGTAGAGGATCCGCCCGCGGAGGAGAGGATCCACTCGCGGGCAAGAAGACCCGCCAGGGGGAGGATCCGCTCGCGCACAAGGGGAAGAGCCGCCCGCGAGGGGGAAGTTCTCGGCGCAGGCTCAATACTTAGAGGAATGCAGGATTTATATTATTAAAGAATGTGCGTAGCCCTGTGGGTGTAATGATACAGTCTTCGGTGTAATGTACATTCGTAAATCATTAATACCTTATCTGATTAATGAAGTGTAATATATAAAGAATCACATTTTAAGAGCGCAGTTTTGTGGGAGTCGTTATTCAGTCCTCGGAAGAACGGGCATACGTACGTACTCTGTAGAATATATAAACCTGATCAAAACTGGTTTGAAGGCGTCATGTTCAAAGGTTATTTCCATTAGAATTACCTTAGATGGTCAAAGGGTTGTTGGGATACAAACTAGCGATAAGGATTTGCATTTATTTTGAACAAGCGTTCGCTGCGGTTCGGGGTTTTTTAGCTTAAGTTAAAGGTCAAAATATCATTAAAAATGAAGCCACGACGCTCTAGACGACTCAGAAGATTGGAACCTGAGGTTATTCCGAGATTTAATGAACGTCAGAGGTCCACACGTATTTTATCGCGTCGTAGACGTGCTATCGAAGCACTTTCTGATGCGAGGAATGAAGTTCTCCTGCGAGAAAGGATTAGTCGAATAAGACATGTTTCTGAATTTTGATAGATACAAGCCAAAATTCCACATGATCAGGTGACTATTCTTTCGTTTATATTTAATTTTAGCGGAGCTTGCAGAGCATAGCCCCATAATTATACAAAATAGTAGTAATTCATCAAGCCGAAAAAGCTTCGATGCGCGGTCAACTGTAACACGTGAACTATCTTTTAATCGGTCCTCTACACGGACACGGAGAAGTTGCGAATGAAAATCCATGAATATTATCACGCACTTTATCCATGGTAGGGGCTTTAGTTTTGTTGAAGAGACCTGCGGAAAAGAAAATGCGAGCTCCGCTTTTAGCCTTGCCTAAATCTATATATTAGTTGCATTATAGATCCCTTTTGAGGAAATACGGACTAACAACAAATTTTGCGTGTTCATTTCTCTTCAATTTTTTACGTGTGTGGGTGTGACAGTTCTCTACTCCGTCGCGCGCTGATTCGTTACCAGTCCACCATCACCCGCTAATTCGTTACCAGTCTACGGGACACTTTTAAGACAAAAGAAAAGCACTTAAGGACCCCAAAAACCGTGTTTTGGGCTTTTTTTAAAGTTTCCTTCTATCGGAATTGGTTTGTACATATCATAAGCTAAGTATTTATGCAAAAAAAATCGTGTCATAAGCACTTTAAATTTCAGCAAATGAAGCTTTTGGCTGCGGAGATAACTGGAGTTAACTTTATTTTTTCAGATTATCGTTGTGTAGATGTGGCCGTGACAGATTTCATGAATTTAATCAACTGCATCCTTGAGGAAGCACGAAGGAGACGGTTCTCGCGTGTAAATATTTTGATAAATATAGCAACATGTCTCGAATTCGATTTGGATGATGGTTTGCGACTCCTTCAGTTTGTGGAAAATGTTCAGCCCAATGACCTAATTTTTGCTTGCTCTTTGTATTTCGATTTTCGTCCAAGAGGACTGTTAAGAGGAGTATGTCACTTTCAAGATATCTGTGTAATACGGTTTCGTTGAATCGTTACTATTTTAAAGTAATGATGATAACCTCTCATATGAATTGCAGTGGAGCTGTATTACATGGTGGACAATTCAACTATAAACGCTGTGAACAAGTTACCAGGCACTTGTGCAAATGGTTCAATTTCTACGGAACGAAGCTACAAACGAATCAATCTGATTCTTGAATCATCGGATGATGACAACAGCCAACCACTTCAATGAAAAACTTTACCGTTGACTGCCCTCTTTTAAAGATTATGAAAGTGATCGACCTTATCATGAATAAAGCTTGTTTGAAATTTTGTAGAGCTTATCGAGCTCATTTTTATGCATTTAGGGCCTGTTTTCATGGAGGTGGGGGGTGGTCGAAAAATAAAACGCGCTTATATACAATCTCATAACCCCGGGGTGCTGGGGTGAGGTTTCTTGAGGTTGTTGTTTCGCTTACAATTAGGGACTTTGAACATTGGGGTCTCAAGCTCACGTCTCGAGAAAAAACTAAAGATAAATTCTCGGAGACGTAGGTCTTTGTAATTATTCAACGAAACTTCGTGCAATTGGGAGCTCTAATCAGAGCTCATTAACTCCCTGATCAACCAATAAATTTCTTGTGATCAAGAGCTTTTCTCAGAGCTCATTGACTCCCTTCTGATCAGCCAAACTTCGTGTGACATGGGGCTCTTTCCACTTTCCCGAGTGCCACGTCCCCGGGTCCTACGTCCTCGAGTCCCACGTCCTCGAGTCCCACGTCTCCGAGTCCCACGTCCCCGTCCTACTTTTAGTCACAGCCCGGGGATGGTAGCGTTGCCATTCTCCCCAACAAGTTTAGGAAGTCATTACGCTGGTTTTTCCGTCGAGATCAAAACGCCTGGGATTTGCGTATAGTTTTGCACTTATAAACGAGATGCTGTTTGGAATTATTCCAGAACTTATTTCTAGGATAATCTGGTCCCTTCCTTCGTTTTGGTCGGTGTATTTTGGGAAAATTTACCGCTATATTAATGCTGGATTACCGAAAGAAAACGCGATCGTTGGCAAGCGCCGGATCCAAGATTTTAGGGCTCAGTAACTTGTAAGTGAGCAAGGCTTAAAAACAGCGAACCGTCTTTTCCTCGATACATTTCTTTAATCCTGTAGGAAAACTCAAGGAATGGGATGCTGTTAATTTTATCATCAATCAATTCATCAATGAATTAAACTTGCTTCATGTCGAAGACTATCAAAATGAAATATCACAACGCTTACCTACTGTATTATTCAATTATATTTGTTGTTATTGTCATTTTTACCGTGATTGAAAACTTTTCTGCGAATTGAAGTCAGAGATGAAAAAAATACTGAGAATTGCTCGGGTTTGCAATTTTTATGTTTAAAATATGTTATCAGCGCCGGTGGAAACTGAGACATGAAAGTCATGCTCTCGCTAAGAAATAAAATGACAATAAACTTGATTTCGGCACGGCTTTCTAAATCTATTAATTTGATTC